TTTTGCGAATGGTGCTGTTCGTGACCTGAATTGGTCGTGAACAGAAGCGTTCGTGACCCGAGGTACCACTGTACAGCAAGAGGAAAAAATTGCAGTGCTTGTATTTAAGGAAACTTACAAGCACAACAAATATAAATGATCATTGCTCTGGATTCTGTTAGGATATTACCTGACATCTTTTGACTTCTGCCTGCAGGGCCCTGCTTTGGGATGTTATAACACTGGACTACTGGGATTCCTTAGTTAGTAACAGTTTTTATACTTTGCCTGATAAACAATCTAGGTGTTTATCTAGAATAATGTGGGGTAGTCCTCCTCCGTATGTACCTCAATATCCATGGAAAGTATGCTACAGATTCTACCTCAACATGCATTTGGAAATTATACAAGCCAGGATAGCTAAACCACAGCTTTTTTCAAGGGTTTAGATCAGCTCATTGCTGCAGCTAAATGTAATTGGTGGTAACTCCAGTGATCACAGTGGTTCAGGTAGTCCTTGTTTAGTGACCAAAATTGGGATTGGCAACTCAGTCATTAAACAAAGTGGTCACTAAGTGAAACTGTGACTTTGCTTATGATCTTACTTCAGCTTTCCCTTGCTTTACAGACCTGGGAAGGTTGAAAATGCAAGGATTGATTGTAAAGTTACTTTTTCTTTACCATCGTGACTGTGAATAGTTGTTAAATGAGGCAGTTGCTAAATGAAGACTACCTGTAGTTTTAGATAGTATGACTAAGAATTCTTTATACTTCACATTTACTATAAGTCTAGATGCAGTGAAGATATTTAGTATACTATAATGATTCTAAACTACTTCATGTCATCGTTTTCTGCTAAATAATTTGACAGGGATGGTTGTGGATTTTATTGTTTAGGGATTCTTTACAAACTTGGATATATCTTGAGAAAAAGGTCCTGAGGGAAACACAAGAAGACTGTCTGGTCAACAGGAGTTTCTTATGCTGCTTAGCTCAATGTTCATCTTCATTCTAGAAAGTCCTAGATTTTTTTTCTTTTTTCTTTCTTTTTTGCAGGCTACAAATGACTTAGAAAACTATGACAAAGCCCGTCATGAGGAGTTTAAGAAATATGAGATGATGAAAGAACACGAAAGGAGAGAGTATTTAAAAACACTGGATGAAGAAAAGAGACACCAAGAGGAAGCTAAATATGAGGAAATGAAAAAAAAGCACAGCAATCACCCCAAAGTTAATCATCCTGTAAGTCCATTGTTTGTATCCATACCATAAAGAGAAGGTCTATTTGTTTATATATTTTTATTTATTCTGTTTATCAAATGTATATGGCCACCCATCTCACTCAAAGTGATTCTGGGTGGCATACAATAAAACCAACAATTAAAACTTTATACAAAAGCCATTTAAAACAATTAAATGTAAATAAAAAACAAGGTGACAAAAGGGAAACCATCAAATCAAATCTTTATTACAATCATAGATCAGCATAACGGAACACATCAGAATATTATACATGGTGCAGCCAACATGGGGGCTCCCTGTTGGCAGGGGATCCCTAGGCTTGCTGAAAAAGCCATGTTTTAAGGGATTTCCAGAAGGTCATAAGGGTCGGTTAAATGGATAATAAATCATTTATTTATTTATTAACAATATAATATCAATACCGTGACAGTATTTATGACAGTAAAATATTCTAGCTTTTGAGCTTCTTTTTTGGTCACTGATCTCATTAAGCTTTTAGACTAAAACTAAGCATAAATGCCATTTCATAGCTTCCCATAAAATAATTTTTTAATTAATTAGGACACTCTTTAAAAAATGGAAGGATTCTGTGCTTCTTCAAAAATACCTCTATTTACATTTTTCACTTTTTTTTGTGGAAACTGGAGTGTGACTAAATTCTACCAATCTTTTTGTCACAGTGATGTCAATCAATCATCCTAGGTGGGCATTGTGGAATGATTGAAATTGCTTTTAGGGTGGATATAAAATATATGTTTCATATCTGTATAGTTCTCTGTGACAGTGTAAGAGTTCGTACTGAACATGCAGGGAAACAATGGTGTCACACTCCTTTCCTTTCAAGTGCATGTCAGACAAAAAACAAAGAGCACTTAGGGGAGAATTAACTGGATTTTGAAAGTTTTTTGGGTGACATAGTATGATTTTAACTCTATGACAGCAAGAAGCTTCTGTGAAATTATTTGCACAATTGGTGTTCATTATCAACTTTCAGGGAAGTAAAGACCAACTGAAAGAGGTATGGGAGGAAGCAGATGGCTTAGACCCTAATGATTTTGATCCAAAGACTTTTTTCAAGTTGCACGGTAAGATTTATATAAAAAATTAAGAAACAGAATTATATGGCATTGACAATAGAGAATCTTGTTGCACTTTACAGATTGACAAATGTATCTTGGCATGCATTTTTCCAGAGAACTTCAACGGATGCATGAAATGTTCTTCTCAGTAGGCAAATATACATTGTTATACATGGGATTGCATTGGCTTTTCCTAACCAGATGACCCACCATATGTTTTGAGTTTACAATTCCCATCCGGGGAGGGTGAGAAATATACATGACATCCAAAAAAAAATTGAAATGTTATCTTTGATAATATATACAGTATATAAAACAACACTGAGTTCAGGGTGGCAAAGGTCATTCGGAATGTGCATTGGCACTTCTGTCACACCTGTCACGCCTGTCAGCATCTTCTTTAAACAAGTGCATCTGTGCTGCATGAGCCCAAGAAAAGGCACATTTCTTTAAGGGGTTGCTTGCAGGGGCAATATGCATGCCCTGGCATTCTTGGTGTCAACTTTTCTCCTTGGAATCTAGATTGCCGCAGCGATATTTTAAGTACAGCAATGATTTACAACAGCAATGGTGTCGATAATAAAACAGCATCACTAAGTAAATGAACACCTTAGTGGGAAGAAAAAAATCTTATCTTGATTGATCCACAAATGACAAAGTTGAATTTCTTGTAAGTTGCAGTTCTGTGCTTATGAATTAGAGGGTCCTATTCATGTTTCTTTGCTCAGGACAGTCATTCCCATTACTATTATGTTAACATAATACTGAGGATTCAGAATAGAAGGATGGGATACATGAAAATTAAAGATAATGAGAATGAATTTTAAATGCATTTTAAATCATAAAGATTAAATTTTAAAGCACAATTTTAAAGTACAATTTTAACAACTGGTGGTATTGACATATGCATTTTAATTCTGGCATTGTTAATTCTGCACAAATATATCAACTCTGTACTGAGGGGAAAATACAAGCTTTCAAAGAAGATTTAACAGGCTTTTAAAAAAGTATATAAAAGTTATTTTTAAATGCATTTCAATCACTCTTTTAGAGATTTCAAAAATATTTTGGTAATTAATTCTCTATGGCATCTTGATTTCTATTTCTGGATTGATTGAATACTATTTTAAAGATGCTTTAATTCCATAATTAACATATATGCAATATGCAAGCCAGGGCAAATAAATAATTCAGTGACCCCTCGCACCGATGATGATGATGATGATGATGATGATGATGATGATGATACTGTAGGATTCAACCAGCTATTGGGACCCCCCCAAAAAAGAGCCTATACAATACCTGCAAATGGGACTGTGGCTCTCCCTTTATTCCTCCTACATAATTTCATGGTATTGGATGTAGTTGTAGTAAATAGTCACTCATGCCCTTGTTATCTCCCAGATAGAGTACTGCAATGCGCTCTACCTGGGGCTAAGTATCTGGAAGCTACAGCTGGTCCAGAATGCAGCCATGTGGGCTATTTGTGGAGCTCCAAGAAGGACTCATATAACACCGTTGCTCCGCAAGCTGCATTGGGTACCAGTTTGCTTCTGGGTCCAATTCAAGGTGTTGGTTATCACCTTTAAAGGCCTACATGGCATGGGACCAGGTTACCTGAGGGACCGCCTCTTCCCCATGATTTCAACCCGTCTCACCCGATCACACAGAGAGGGCATGCTCTGGATCCCCTCAGTAAAGCGGGATCCAGAAGGCAGGCCTTCTCTGCTGTAGCTCCCACTCTTTGGAATATCTTGCCCCTGGAGGTGAGATTGGCCCCCTCACTCCTGGCCTTCCAGAGGGATTTGAAGACCTGGCTCTGCCATCTGGCCTGGGGTGGGGAAGGAAGACATCAGGTGTGGGGGTGGCTAGCTCCTTAGAGCCCTGGCATTTGCTGCTCTGAACCATCGGCCTCCTGGACGTTTTTAGTAATTGTTTTACATAGCTTTAGATTTTATGTAATTGTATTTTAGTTATTGT